ATTAATTATGTTTTTGTTGTTTTTGACTCTTTAAATTCTGCAGATTAGTTTTCTATTGGTTAAATTTTAACTTTAAAAATCATTTAAAATGATACAGAGGGAGTATTGGGTTATTTGTCTTGAGCTGCTCTAATAGTAAATTAATTGTTGCAAACAATTTTAGCTTTGAATGGTAACAACGGACGGATCAAACTAGACAAAGAGCGCCTTTTTTCCGGTTGTTGTTAAATGTTGTGAATATATTGTTGATGTTATAGATAGCAGCGTACGGGAAAGGATTTGTGAGGGCGTCGCAAGATACGTGGAAACTGTTTGAGGATGTAGATATGGTTGAGATCATAGATGCAGACATAACAAGCGCTATCTGCTTCCTCACAGGGATCTGCAGCGGCTGCGTCTGTATTATTGTCGCGGCCGCTTGGACACATACGGTTTACAAACCTTTTACAGCAACCATTTCCTTACTTGCCTTCTTCATTGGATACCTCATGGTAATAACACTATCATTGCATTTTCTTTTTGGACTCAAAATGTCAATATTTTCATTGGGTTTTTTTTTTCCGGATATTTTAACAGACGAGGATCTCAATGGCATTGCCTCACGCCTGCGTAGGTTGTTACTACACATGCTACGCCGAAAATCCGGAGAGCAGATTCTTCGACAAAACTATAAAAGATCGGCTAGCTTTGATCCGAAACGGCCGTGTTGTTGTTTCGACCCCTAGAGTCCGCCGTGCTGCTTATAACGTCTAGCTTAGCTTAATCTTCTATTTTTCCTGCCTGATTGGAATGGCTTAGGCGTTTCACTTTTTAAGAGATGAAATAATTTAGTTTATAAAATTGTATTTAAGTTTTTTGAAAAATAATTTAGTTGCAGAGTAGAGTGAAGGGTCAATATCAGTGGGGTAAGGGAAGAATGTTGATAGGTAAGCTCAATAGCTCATGACATCGACACAATCCAACTAAAGAGGCAAAAGGCAAGTTTGGTTGAGCATTTTTTTTTCCTTGTTGTTGAGACTCCTTAAATTACTTTCTGTACATATATTTTTCTTTTTAAAATTGTTTTGTTCCTTTCTGTATGTGAGGTATATTCCTTTCTCAATTTTGGAAAGTAGTTGATTTTTTAATCTTAAGATAAATGTTTTTGTTTATTAGATTAGGACATGTGGGTAGCCTGGTAGGTAGATGTAAACTTTTATGACTACTGTTCTACTTCTAGATATTGCCCAAGATGTGTCTCCTTGATTACACAACCTCAACGTCCAACTTTTGTAGAAGACATGAATACATGAGATTTTACTAGAGCCAATCTTATTGGAAGATTGGTCTTCATGATGCGACATGGTTGGTAAAACAAGCTTATTAGAGCTGTCAATTATGAATGTGGTGTATGAAGCATTGACCATCGTGGATCACTGACAATTACAAACTTTATAATACCTTTTAAATGGTAAACAATTTTCAAAATGTGTACACCAAACTCTTTCGTCTCATACTCTCTCACCTACTTAACAAATGACCTGGTAAAAGAAAAGCATGGATTGAGTTCCCATAAGGATAAACAAACTGAATGGTCATATAAGAGGAAAATCAGAATACCAAAATACAGATTATTTTGAATTTCCTACTTAGTTAATACTTTCAAAGGAAAGACTCAAAATACAAATTATTTTTCAATTTTTCTTTTGAATTGAATGCTAAATTGTATTCCAACCAAAACTTGTTTTATGATAGAGATTTTGAATTTGGAATCGATCTATCTGATCGAGTGATAAACCAAAACATTATACTCTTCTCAAGTTGATTACCCCCTTATCATCGAATTTTGTTCAACCGATTCTTCATATTTCTTTCCTTCCAAATGCCATAAACGCTTGGAAGACATATCGCATAGTAAAAATAGAGATATAACCTTGAGGAGTGTTTGAAGTGAAATAAACAATGAATTCTCAATACGCTGAATAGTTTTGTCCCATGATCTCTCGAGCCTCATTTACTTCACCCGAATAACCACACTAAAAAAAGAGGTGATTACTGTTCAAATTTTTAAACAAAGATATTGGTACTTACCGTAAAAAACACCTTCTTCCTTTTTCAGAAAATACCGGGAATGTAGAAAAACAAATCTGAAATATTTGGACTCACATAATTTCCCTCTAATTGGAAATTCGAAGAGGCCCATAAAAGCCCAATTACAAGAATCCTAAAACACCTAACCGGTCTCTAGATAAGTCCAATCTTATCATAACATGAAATCTAAAATCCGCCACGTGATTCGTCCATTTAGCTGAACCTCGAAACGATGCAACGTCATACGATCGATCACGCACAAACCACGAATTAC